ACCCGATGGATACAGAGGTTATTTGGCCTGGCCTTGGCCTCTGTCTGGAGGAAGTTGTTGCCCTGTACATTTCCATCTCCCTTTGTAACTGATTGCGGTTTTAAGTTTGGATTGACATTGGGAGCCCCTCAGCTTCAGATTGTGACTTGCATGTCCAGGAGGGATGGCTGGTCGCGGAGGAAGGGTCAACCCAGAAGGTGGGGCTGACCATTCCCAAGATGGCCAACAGGAGTAGCAGCAGCAGCTGCCTTCCTTTGGAGCTGAATTCTGGGACTGTGGAGAGTTAGGGGTGTGGGACCAGCTGTGTCCCGAGCAGCACAGCCACTTCTGAAGTGGGTTACGGTTTGCACAGAGATAATTTGGTAACGCAGTTTGTGGACCTGTGGCTGTGTTTATAATAGTGATTGGCAGGATGGTCTTGGAGACATCTTCAATCAACCTGAATATGGTGCAGGACCTTTGCCAAGTTGGAGAAATCTCTTTGCTCGCATCTCTCTTGGCATCCAACATGGAGAAAACTGTTAATATAGTTTTAAAAAATCCTGAACACAGGAGTTCTTTTTCTCCTTTGAACTGGACTAAAAGCACATACTGTGAAGTTACCAGGTCACCCGACTCAGCTGTTTATTTTTCATAAATTCAGCAATGTGTTTGAAAAATCATATTTTCAGATTACTTTGTGTGCATGGAAGGTGACATTTCTATTTTGTCTGGTACAAAATTTACAGGATGAGACACAAGATATAAGGGCATGCTGTTTCATGTCTAATTTACAGGAATAGGGAAAAACGACCCCGTCTAGGCTAAGCAATAGAATTCAAGCCTGAAGACTTCTAGCTGTGTCATTGCTTCCGTCTATATCCTGGAGGGTCAGCCCAGTGTCCTTTTGTCTAGACCTCTGCAGATTATCAGTTGAGAAGTGAAGTTCACAGGACTTCTAAAGAAGTCCACTTTTGAAGATTATAATGATATGATATTATTATGACCATTTATTGTATGCCTTTGTACCCTAGGAATAGGAACTGTGCTCAGTGCTCTACACATATTATATCTAGTTCATATGTCAAGCCTGCAGGAAAGCTGTTACCCCATTTTACAAAAATAAGAAAAATGCCTGGGTATGGTGGTTTACGCCTGTAATTCCAGCACTTTGGTAGGCCAAGTCAGGAGGATTGCTTTAGCCTTGGAGTTTGAGACCAGTCTGAATGACATAGCAAGACCTCATCTCTACAAAAAGTAAAAAGTAAGCCAGGCGTGGTGGTGTGTGCCTGCAGTTCCAGCTTCTCCGAAGGCTGAGGTGGACGGATCACCAGAGCCCATCAGTCGAGGCTGTGGTGAGCCATGATCGTGCCACTGCTCTAGCCTGGGAGACAGAGTGGTGGGAGCCCTACTCAAGCTGGGTGTGGTGGCTCAAACCTGTAATCTCAGCACTTTGGGAGGCTGAGGCAAGATTGCCTGAGTCCAGGGGTTTGAGACCAGCCTGGGCAACTTGGTAAGACCTCGTCTCGACAATAAAGTTTTTAAAAAATTAGTCAGACATGGTGGTGCGGTGCCCAGAGTTCCAGCTACTTGGAAGGCTGAGGCAGAAGGATCGCCTGAGCCTGGCAGGTGGAGGCTGCAGTGGCTGTGAGCATGCCACTGCACTCCAGTCTGGGCAACAGAGAGAGATTTCAGCTCAAAAAAAGAAAAAAATATAAACCTGAGCACCCGACTCAAAAGATAGGAGAAGAGAGAAGGGGAGGGAAAGGGAGGGAAGGGGAGGGGAGGGTAGAGGAGAATGAAACTGGGTAAGACCCCCAACTCAAAAGAAAAGAAAAGAAAAATGAAGCTGGGATTAGTCAAACAATTTGTCTAAATCACAAAGCTGCAAATGGTAGAGTTAGAAAGAAACACAGGTCTCTGGGGATTCAAAGCTCAGACCCTTTGTGCTAAGTTCCACAGGGTCTATTTATCATAGAAGACCATGTCATTGTAGGAAAGGTATCATGCTTCGTCAGTTCTCTGCTTTGGCATTACGTAAAAGAACTAGATCCTTGTCAGGGACCGATAGAGAGACAGAAAAAGCAAAGCTATCATTTTGAAAATACTAATGAGAAGAAAAAATCCTCTTTTCTCTTCCACAAAAATTATTCTTTCCTACCTGTGTTCCCTTCTTCCTCTACTGCTCCAGGCCTAATTTTTCAAAAAGTAGCCTTTCTAGAATCCTAATACCATCACAGGATCATCCGTTTAGGGGCAGGGTGTAATGATAGTGCTTATTCTTTGATGGCCGCCCTCTCATTTCTGACTACCACAGAAGGGATGCTGTAGAAGCCTGAGAGAATGGTACTTCCCTTTCCTGGAGGCCCATTTAATTTGAGAAAATGAAAACAAAAAGCTGGGAATTCTACTTAGAGTCTTGTCTGTTGGTAGTGATGGTCCCCAGACAACTAGCCTTAGAAATGGAGACTCCTTCTACCAGAGCCGACATTTGACTACCCAGACCTAACTTACAACAGGAAAAAGTAATTATGTTTCTAAAAAAAAGCCATGATTCTTTCTGCATTTCTATCTGCAGCCCCAAATCATCCTCCTTGGCCCTCATCACTCTTTAAAACTTCTCCATCAAAGACTTTACAGGACAAGTTAGTTCCTTGTGGACATTGTCTCAAGTAGTTCTCTGGATATTTGCAGGTGAAGAATCTGGAAAGCTGTCTGGATTGAACATGCTGTGCACACCCCCAAGTCCAGATTCCATCCAGTGAGAGGCATATTTATACATAATCAAAGTAGCTAGCCTGGCTCCTATACACAGTGGGAAAAGAGGAACTGCTGCCTTGTGGAATTAACGTGGCCAAAGTTCCATGTTCTTTTGTTTCGTTGTTGTGTGACTTGTTCTCGGTTGAGAGGATTAATGGCAAGGATCCTGCTTCTCTAAAAGTGGTCGTGGAAGGCATGAGCCAGGGTTATGCCACTGATGTACCAGATCTGAAATGTACCACTTTGCTACCACTTGCTAAGGCTCAAAAAAATGTTCTGGTTCTGTAAGTAGGTGCGGATTTTCCAGGAAAAGCACGGCTGGCATTTCGTGATTGTCTGCCACGTGCCAGGCACTGTGTTGCTAAATGCCTCCACATTCGTCCTCACAGTGAACCATGTCGAGACGGTGGGTGTTGTTCCTTCTTCATAGTTGAAGAAGCAAGTTCAAAGTGACTGACTTGGTCAAGGTCACATGTCTAATAAGTGATGGACCTGGGCTCTTTAGCTGTTTCCAAGGACTCTGTTCTTTCTGTGCTGTTCTACTCCTGCCTCGTGGAATCCTAAGACCTCAGAGGCATTTTGTTTATTCTCTCACCTGATGTCAAGTAGATAGAAATCTGTCCTAAGTTAGTGCATTTCAAGTAAAAGGGCACACTGCGTTGCTGAAGGCATTCATTCCATCTTAAAAGAGTTATACCATCAGGAAGTTTTTACCTGTTTTGAGTCTAAATCAATTTCCCTATAACTTTCACCCGCCCATTGGTCATGCTTCGAATGCTAGAGGCCATAGAGAACAACTCCCTTTTCATCTGATAACCTTTCTGATATTCCTAATATATTAGTCAAGGTTCAGTTAGGAGACAGAAGCCACACAGTAATTTGAACAGGAAAAATTTAATATGATGAATTATGAACTAGTAACAGGATTTGTCTACTAAAGTGTAAAGAGAACCCTGAAGATTATAGGAAATACACTTGGGAGAGCCCCTTCCCCAGCTGGGTCTGAGATTTAGGCCTTGCTGGGAGAAGAGGGCTGCAGCTCAAGGGATGGTAAGTTTGCTGAGATGCCACAGCAGGAAGTCACCCACCCTCTGTGGTACCCATGGAATTCAACCCAAAGTTGCCCAGGGGTGTTAGTGAACTGCTGGGAAACCCACGAGGGCTTTAGGGAGCCCCTCTAGCACCACCATGGGGGCGAGCCTCCACTGAGTGGCTAGTGGAACATCCAAGAGCTTGCTGGGAGGCGCCCGCGGACATGCTGTCAGGTTCACAGGGAAGCCACCCCTAGGGAAAATGCCACTTACACGTGCTAGAGGCAAATACCCCTACCTGCCTGCCTGTGGTCCTTCTTGCCCTGCAGGAGAAAGAAGTAAAAAGGGTCACCCGAATCAGGAAGAAAGTCCTCCATCCCAGTGGCCCTTCAGTGCCCTCTGCTGACAAAGCTTAAGGTCATGCCAGCTGGCATAGGAAAGAGGTTTACAGGGTCCAGTTCGAGTATCACAAACAGGACAGTGAAGACTGAGTTAGAAACTAAACGGCAAAATAGCGCTAACTACATTTTGGTTTCTCTAAGCAGTCTACAGAAGTCTGAATTCAGCACCTGCACTGTCCTCATTACTTCTTCTAACTGTTTTCCAGTCTTGCTAGTACTTTGCTTATATTGTGGTACCCAAATCGGAACACATGGTCTAGCCTGGCAGTTTGATATTAAGTCATTATTTCTCTTTCCTGCTCTTTTATTCTCTTACAATGTACGGTAGGATTTAATTTTTAAATTTTTTAGAGGTGGATCTTGCTCTGTTGCGCAGGCTGGAATACATTAGCGTGATCATAGCTCACTGCAGCCTTGAACACCTGGACTTAAGCAATCCTCCCAACATAGCCTTCTGAGTAGCTGGGATTACCTGTGCACGCCACCACGCCCAGCTGGTTTTTTAAAAAAATCTTTTTGTAGAGATGGAATTTTACTCTGTTGCCCAGGCTGGTCTCAAACTCCTGGCCTCAAGCCGTCCTCCTGCCTTGGCCTCCCAAAGCACTGGAATTACAGATGTGAGCCACCATACTTGGCCCCCTGCTTTAACTTTTAATATAGTAAGTAGTGGGTATGCGTATGTATTCCACATAAACAAAACTTCTTTGAGACTCTTATTAATTTTCAAAGAGTATAAAGGGACTCTGAGCCCAAAAAGTTTGAAGAGGACTACTGGTCTAGTAGGTAGGGCTATAGCCTCCTTCGTTTAGATATTATAATTTATTCATGTTTTATAGGGATTTGGGAACAGGAGATATATAGTAGACTTAATTTCTCTGAAATAGGGAGTGGAAAGCAAGCAAGAATAAGGATGATTGCTAGGGAAAGTTACTGAACCTTCCTAGATTTGTTTCAGATCTAGAGAAATGTGGGAGTCTCAAGTGGATATGGTGCAGGTCCTGTTTGAGCTTGGATGCTAAACAGACTTAGGTTCAAATACGAGCCTTACCACTTATTACCTGTGTATCACTGGGAAAATTACTTAGTCTCTCTGAGCCATGTAAATACTCTTCTTAAATAATTTCTACCCTGCAAGGTTGTCAAAAAAGAGGATTGAATGGCAATGCATCTATAAAGCATCTGACATAAAGTAGTTGCTTAATAAAGTTCCCCTTCTCTCTCTCTCTCTCTCTCTCTCTCTCTCTCTCTCTCTCTCTCTCTCTGCTTATTCTTATCCTGAGAATAAGGGACTTACTTGAGATCCAATAGAAAATAAAGAACTCAGGCCTTAAATCCCTAAGGAAGGAAAGAAAGAAAGAAAAATCCCTAAATCATATGCCCATGCATTTATTCCAAAGACATTTATTGATTATGTACCAGGAATGAAACTGTCATTAACTGTGTTGTTGACGAAAGGCAGTGGCCAATAGGATCATTTCTTTGTTCTCCAGTTCAGCTCTTTCCCACACATGCTATTTTCTGGCATTGACTACTCTTAGGCTCTATGCCACGTGCTTATTCTGGATGGTATCTTCCTTAACTGCAGGGTCTCTCACTTGAACAGTCTCCTTCTGTGGCTAGGGAGTGCCCTAACCATGTGTTACAGGGCTGTATTATACAATATGCAGAAGGAAGACATTGTATCTGCAGTCAGTTAAGGCAGCCTTTTTCTCTCCTGACTTTTCCTCTGTCTTACTTCTCCTTCAGCATGGTGACTTTGGAGTGGCCATGGACATGACCCACAAAAATGAGATTTCTCCACAGTTACATGACAGGGATTTTTTTTTTTTTTGACAGAAGTATGTTACCTAGCTTGCCTGTTATCATTGGACAACTGTTGTGAGAGGACAGACTGCCCTCTGAAGTCTATGGACATGGGTACCGTGCCAAAAAAGAATTAATTTCATGCCGTGCTAAATGCAATTTTGTAAAATAAAGAACCTGTGACTGAATTGCTCCAATCATTTCGGAAAGTAGAATGGGAAAAAATACAAGGCAGTCATGGATTGGTGTTTCTTCAGTATACTAGAAAATCCCACATAATTGGACCTAGAAATTTGATATTTACTCTGTAAATTGGTCATGATGAGAAACCAAACCTAGGGAGTCAGGGGGCAGGGATAAAGTGCTGAGTTAAGAAAGCAACACTTAGTCTGTGAAACATATTTTGGTGGGGGTGGACCCAGTAGCACTGATGGCTGTTCATGATTGTTCTTGAGGCAGGTATGTGAGGCATGCGTCTCAGCACAGGCACTGAATCTCCCAGCAGAGCTGCAGATTTTGGGCTGGGATGCACCTACATGAAAGTGTTTTGCAGAGTGTTTACTTTGCAGAGGTGGGGAGAGTTCTGATATTAAAGCCATGGTCCTGACAATGAGGAAGTCTTGACTCTATTTGTCATTGTGGCCTTGGCTAGGTCATTTTGCTTCTCTGACTCCCAATTGTGAGTTGAAGCCAATGCGCTCATTCTAATTAGGACAGCATTGAGAATGAGTAGTGTTTTAGGATTTAGAGTAAGTGTGAGTATTGTGTGTGTGTGTGTGTGTGTGTGTGTGTGTGTGTGGTGTGTGTGTGTGTGGTATGTGTATACATTTTTATTATAATGTTCTATCATAAGGGGAGTAAGAGTCTCTCCCCTTGCAGGATTGCACCTTTGGATTTGGCAAGAGCCATGGATATACGTTGACTCTTCAATCTCACTTGTGAGATGATGCTTTTACCACTTTATCTCCTCCCCAAAGTGAAGGGAGTAGTGAATACCATGTTTTTTTCTTTTCCCAGATTCTCTCTGGCCCAAAATCCGGGTTCCACTGAAAGTTGTGAGGACAGCTGAAAACAAGTTGAGTAACCGTTTCTTCCCTTACGACGAAATTGAGACTGAGGCTGTTCTGGCCATCGATGATGACATCATCATGCTGACGTCTGATGAGCTGCAATTTGGCTATGAGGTAAGGCGGCTTCCAGCAGAGCACGCGTAGTGTTGACTGCCTGTTACGGCTTGTCGTTCCTGAAAAAGATATCGTTCATTCTCTAAAGTCGCAGTTTCTGAAGTCTCCCAGTCAAGTCTGAAAGCTGTACTTAGGGGTGTGGGTCATGAAGCTTTCTTAAAACCTTGGGGAAGCCCCATTCCAGAGTGACGACTGTGCCTCCCACTCGTTTTGGGAACTCCCGAGGAGAGTTCTAGAAGCCACTTTCAAAAGAGCGCTTAATTGACGTCTCCTTGAATAGCACTTCCCAGACTCAGGCCCTTGGGCACCACCATAATTAACCCTCAGTAAGTAAAGAGGCTGGCGACCCTGACAGACAAAGCAGGCTTTCCTTCTGAGTTTTAAGGAGAGGGGCTGGCTGCCTGTCTTCAAGGAGAAACATTCCCTATCACTGTTCATTCAGTGCGGCTGATGGATATGGCTGGGTTCAGGGGTTAAGTATGAAAGCCAATTAAGGTCTCCCCAGGGGAAAGTGCCAGAGTCTAGACCTGGTGAAAAGCCATAGGAATTGATGCGTCTTGTCAGGGCGTACGTGAGACACACGGTAACGACAAGCGGGGGGGCCCGTGGCCGTGGGGTCAAGGTGGCATCAGGCCATGCGCGGAGTGGGTAAAGGGCAGGACTCTCCCCGGATGCTCACCCTGCCTTTGGGAGAGAGGTGAGCATTCTCTTTGCTTAACTCAGGATCTGTTGAATTTGGGATTCTTAAGAAATCATGACATTTATTAAATGAAGTCATATTTGGTGTATATATTTACTATGGAAATTTATTTTCAAACTCTTAAATTGAAGGTGGATTTTAAGGAGAAAGAATAGGTATCCCCCCCACTATTACCACCACCAAAAAATGAAAAGCTCACGTTTCCCCAGGTTTAAAAAAATACAGCTTAATTTGAGTGTAATAGAAATTGTGATGAAATAGATTGATATGTGGTGCTCTGGTTGATAAAATTATTGGTCAGTGAACGGCCTGAGAGTAGCTAATAAAGCCTACATCTGTCTCTTTGAATTTATTTTTATTTGTAGGAGATGACTTTTACATCATAGCATCTAGGTGCTGGATGATATTTCGTATACTGTCTTTTCCTTTTTTTAAAAAAAAAGCAAATTGCCTGCTGGTTTTTCTAGCCAAGTCATGGAAAATGACTAATTTTGTCTGCCAGTATTTTCTCCCTTCATTGCATATAATGGCTTCAAACTCTACCCGTGTGTTTATTTTTGTGGCAAAAATGAGATGGAGCAGGAGAGTGTTCAGAATGACAGGGCCAGGACTGTCAAGCGCTGTCTCTTCTGTATTCTCAGTTGGTCTAAGGAAGTCTCATGAAAAAAAGGTGGACTCAATGTGTTCCTGGGATTTCTTTCAACCTGGAGTTTGTTTCAAGCAACAAAGAATATGTTAATGAGAGGAGTTTTGCAAAACTTCCAGGGACTGAGTCTGAATCATTTTTTATAGATTTAATAATATACTTTATTTAACCCTAATATATTCAAAATGTTAACATTTTATTTTTTTACTTTTAAAGATGTGGGGTACAGTTCAGAGTTAGGTATACAAATGTTCATTATGCAGGGACCCTTCTTGATGAAGTGTGCTCCCCCTCCCCCCACAGATTCCCACTACTGTCAATCCCATACCACACCCGCAGCAGTTTCCTGCTACTGCCAATCTTTTTCTTATAGTATTACAAAAACTGTTCAAGGTCTGCTTATGAGTGAGAACATATGATTCTCAGGTCTTTGTTTCTGTGAAAGATCACTCAGCATTATAGACTCTAAGTCCATCCAGGTTGCTGTGAAGTTTATGACTTCGTTCTTATTTATGGCTGTGTAGTATTCCATCATGTATATGTACCACATTTTTTTATCCAGCCCTCTTTTGATGGGCAGCATGGTTGGTTCCATGTTCTTGCTATTGTGAACAGTGCTGCGATAAACATACGTGTGCAGGTATCTTTTTCATGGAGTGATTTGAGTTCCTTTGGATATATTCCCAGTAGGGGGGTTGCGGGGACATATGGAAGGTTGTTTTTTAGATCTTTTGGGAATTGCCACACTGTTTTCCGCAGAGGCTGTACTAGTTAACACTCTCACCAACAGTGTAGAAGTGTTCCCTTTTTACCGCATCCTCTCCAGCATCTGTTGTTTTTTGAGTTATTGATGGTGGCCATCCTGACTGGAGTTAGGTGGTATCTCAGTGTAGCTTTAATTTGCATTTCTTTGATGACTAGTGAGTCTGAGCGTTTTTTCATGTGTCTGTTGGCTGCTCATCTGTCTTTTGAGAAGTGTCTATTCATATAGTGTCTTGTTCCTACTTTGTAATGGGGCTATTTGTTTTTTTCCTTTTGGCACATTTAAGTTCCTTGTAGATCCTAAAATTAGGCCTTTGTCAGACATATAGTTGAGCCTGAATCTTTATCTCTTTCCTCTGATTGCTTGTGTTGGTTCCATAGTCTCCTTAAAGAAGTGATTGTCTATTAGAGGAGTGAGCACAGTAAGCTGTCTCATCTCCATTAGTGAGAATCCCCGGGTGTTGTGGAAAGAACAACTTGCATTAGCACCTTCTGAATATGTTTACATACACATAAGTGTCTACATACGTCACTTGTGAGCTTTCCCCAAACCTACCAAGCGGGTATGCTTTTCTCATTCCACACTAAGACTAAGCAAGGTTAGATAACTTGCCTAAAGTCATACAGCCAATAAGTGGAAGAGTTGGGATTCAAATCCAAGTTTTTCTGATAATGTTTGGTCTTCCCTGAAGATTTTATCATGAGTGACATTTTCCAGAGACTGCTGGTCCTCAAAAGTAGTACTTACGGCCATCAGCATATCGTTTGTCCAGCACTAAATTATTTTGATGTTAAAGCAAACATACACATTCTTCAGGTACTCCTACCGTTAGTGCTTTAGGGACTCTGGGCCCAAATTTCTACTCTGCTTCTGACCAGTTTATGATGATGGACAAGTTATTTCATGTCTCTGGGTCTAGTTGGTTCTTATCTGAAATGGCAACAGCACTATCTAGTTCACGAGGCTGTGAAGTATGTCAGATGAAATTCCATAATCCCTACCAATGGCAAGTGCACAGAAAGTATGTGCTCTGTGTGACGGACAGAAGGTAGATCACGCACTTTATAGATGCCATGTTAGCTGCTGCTACCACTGTTATCATGACCACCACTACTGCTCTTTTCATTATTCCATTCATGATTCTACTGTGATTCCTGAGAGAGTTGTTCATTGTTTTTATTATTCAGAAGGGACATTGCCCTCCTCCCGAGGACACTCAATTTAAGTTTGATTCAGAAGACAAAAGGTGATGGTGCTCTTAGCCCCGGCTTTTGTGCCAAAGCCTGGGATTAATTTATTTTTTTCTTTTTAGTAGTTTTTTTTGGGGGGGATCAATTTTTAATACAGGAATTGGAAGCGGGCTTGAGTCTGCATACGAATAAATCAGTTAACAATTTGCACACTAGGAGAGTTGAATTGGAACCCAGAACTGCTTTTGTGTGGCCCTTGTCACAGATTCTTGGGATTATATCTATTTTGTTAATTCCTACTCATCTTTCAACACTCAGCTCAGCTGTTGCTCTGGCAAAGAAGCTTTCAGAGAGTCCCCAGTCCGGGTTGGCTTCAAAGCACTCTCTACCTCTCTGTGAGCAAGTAATTGTGAGCTATGTTGTTTAGTGTCTGCTTTTTCTTCTGGAATGTAAGCACCACTGTTTTATTCATTGCTATATCCTCTGTGTCCAACCTGTTCATTTCAATAATATTTGAGAAATGAGTGACTCTCCATCACCAACTTGTATACGGAAGATGTGGAACAGATCCTTGTGGCCTGCGTGCCCTTCCACTTTACAGTGATCCATAATCCAGATGTGGCCATTTGGAAAACAGGTCAGAGTTTACAGTGTTAATCTACCTTGTGACCAGCCAATAATCCCATGAGGATTTACCCTAGAGAAATAAGAGACGTATCTACACAAATACCTGTGCACTAATATTCATAGCAGCTTTTATTTGTAATAGCCAAAAACTGGAGGCGGGAAAGCCTGTCAAGAGTTGAATGGATAAACAAATTGTGGTACATCCAGATGGTAGGATATGATTGGACAACAAAGAAGAATACACAGTCAGGCTCGGCGGCTCAGCCTGTCATCCCGTGCCTTGGGAGGCTGAGGTGAGCGGATGGCCTGAGCCCGCGGGTTCGAGACCCGCCTGGGCAACTTGGCAAGACCTCATCTCTACAATAAATCAAGCAATCAGCCGGGCGTGGTAGGGCGTGCCTGCAATTCCGGCTACTCGGAAGGCTGATGCGAAGGATCGCCGGACCCAGCAGGTCGAGGCTGTGGTGGCACTCCAGTCTGGGCGACCGAGTGAGACTCCGACTCAAAAAAAAAAAAAGAATACGTGTGGCAACATGGACAAAGTAATTATGCTGAATTAACAAAGCAAGATGAAAAGAGAACATTCTTTAGGATACCATATATATAATATTCTTAAAATCGCAAACATCTCCTAGTGATAGAAAGAGCAGTGGCTGCCTGGAAAAGGAGTGAGGAGGCCAGGCTGTGAACAGCAACAGGGAAGACTAGCACAAGGACACGAAAGAACTTTTGGGGGAAGTGGATGTGTTCATTATCTTAACTGGGGTAGTAGTTTGGCTGGTGTATGTAGGTGTCAAAACATATCAAATTACATGCTCAAGTAAGCTCAGTTTACAGTATCTCAAATATTTTTCCAAAAATCTATAGAACTGTCATGTTTATATTCTGGCAGTAATGTAAAAAATGAAATACTTAAAAATTTTAACCAGATTTGTGCCAGATATGTTCAGAGAAACCTACAAAATGTTGCTGAAACTGAAGAACAGTTTTGTAAATGGAAAGATATACCATGCTCACTATTATTGCAATGTAACTTCTCTCCAAATTGTTCTGTAGAGTCAAAGCAATTTTAAT